GGTGCCTAAGCAGAACCAGTTTCGTACAGTTTAACACTTACATGTAGCTTTTCTTCAACGTGACGTCGATAAATTTAAATTCACCACCGTAGCAAGTTTGCGAAGTTGACGTTACGAGCGTTAGGTCTTCGTCAGAGCAAAGCTTTGTGTTTTTTTTTGTTTTTTGTTTTTTTCTTTTAAGATGAAACCCAAAGGGCTTACATTCAAATAAGCTATTTGTAGACTATGGTTTAATTTTACTTTTTTCGCATGTTTCCTTTGAAACGTCTTTCTGGTACCTTTGTGTCACTTTGGGATGCACAGGTAAACGACACTTGTATATGCACCTCAATAATGCCACAGAACGTTTTCAGTATTAATTTCGGAATTTGTCAAACAGTAACAAAAGATGCGACAAGTGACGATTCACTTTTTTGCAGAAAAATGGTTGACGAACGAACTCGTCAAATTTCCGAGAAGTCCGCAGAAAAAGCCCGACAAGAAAGCGACAGAATGGATAGCAAAAAGCAATCAAGTGAAAAGATTTGCCAAAAGGAACGAGAGAGACAAGAAAAGGCCGAGACGTGGAAACACTCGCGGATCGAAGCCATGAGAGAACGAAGAACACAACACGAGGAAATGGAGAACAGTTATGAAAGAGCCGCACAAGAACAGGAGTCGCAAAGACTGGTACGTGTTCACTAAACCCTTCCGGGAAAGGAGATGGAGATTCCTAGGGCGGACGCAACGAGTAAACAGATTTCCCTGGGGTTTCTTTCTGTCTTGCCAGCCAAAGGTTCCTTGCCGCATTTCCTGAACGCAAATTTACCGAAATTGTAGTCATTTTACACCGGGAAAGCATTGTAGTTTCCCTAGAAGATAACTCCAATCGGCAAACTTTGCCGTAATTCCATCAATACTAACGCTTTCAGATTGAAAACCCCGTACGGGTAACCGTTAATTCACCTGCTGACACTGCGAGTGATACGTCAATATTCGCCACTTTAGAAACGAGAAGAAACCTATGAAAGTCTCATCTCGAGGTGGCTTGTGGGACCGTTACAGGGACAAAACAAAACACGGGAAGCTGTGTTGTGCCCAGTAGCGATCCCAGTAGCGATCCCACAAGCGACTACGAGATGAGACACCCGAGATTTCTACGCGTTTCTAAAGTGGCGAACTGCGGTCTCCAAATTCTCAATTAGGTGAGTAGCACAGTATTGTTAGTCTAATGCGTAATTGTCCTCTGTCAGTTCCTCTCTACACCTTCGCTCTCTCTCTTCGTTCTCTTTAGTAAACTTTATCTCGTTCTCCTGCTTTCGATGCACGCGCTCCCTACTGTCATTTTAACTCTGTTCTCATTTTCTTCTGCAGAGTGGACTGAAGGATCGCGAGCAAAGGAGAGTGGAAGCTCACCACGATCGCTTGGTAACCGAGAGAAGAATGGGACTAGATAGGGAAGATCAGTTGAAACAACGAGAAATGGAACGTCAGGCGAGAATAGATAAGATTAAAAACACCGCGGAACGAAGAAAAGAAATGAAAATTCACGTGAAACAACAGAATGAACAGAAATATCGAGCAAGCATTCTTCCCTAGACACAAAGGGGCATAATGAGGATAAAGGACTAGACAATAGCTTGTTTGCCGATCAGTACTGAACAGTACTGAACTAGAAAATAGATACTTTACCTGAACACCAGTCCTTTCCTTCTTCAATAGCACGAAAAGCATGTAACAACGTGGGACGCAAGACTCTCCATCTCTCTTTGTTTTGTTGTTGTCGTTGTTTTTTCTCTCCTCTGCTTCTCGTGCCCCGAGCTTTCATGCGCTCTTCGAAATCTTGAAAAGATATAGAACTTCTACTGATACGTTCGGTATTCTCGTTCCCAGAACTAAATGCATGTATAGATTTCTCACTCGTTTGAGGGAAGAATAAACGTTATTCTTTCCCTTTCTCAACGCTCAGAATTCTCAAGAAAACTATGTTAAGGCCCTTGCTCTATTCCACTCGTGAAATGAAACGGAAATGACGCGCTCGGCTTGTACAGATGGGCGCGACTGCAGGCCCAACTGTAACAACTTGTTAGGTTTAATTTGCCAAAACGAAGTCATTGTAAAAGTCGGGTATGGATGCGTGTTCATGTAAATACTTAGCTGTTATGGGGAGAATATCGATAAGGAACGTTACACAGAGAGATTAAATCAAATATAAATGAAACGTGTATTGATTGCCCGATTATTAATTTTCAATGGAGGGAGCTTTGTACAAAATACAGATCTTCATAACTATCACTGCTTTTGTGTATTAAAGAAATCTGTGGACTCTTTATAATACTGAAGTCAGTATTTTTGTTCGAGATTCAAGGTTAATGCGTAGGTTTTTTTATTGGGATTCCAAGAGCCCTACCGGGATCGGGGACATTCTGTTGTGTTCTAGGGCAAGACCCTTTACTCTCACAGTGCCTCTCTCCACGCATGTGTTTAAATGGGTACCGGTGAACTTGATGCTGGGGGTAATTCTGCGATGACCAGCATCCCATCCAGGGAGAGTAGAAATACCCCTAGTCGCTTCATGCTACTGAAACCGGGATAGGCTCCGGCCTGATGAGCCACTTGGCTCGTATGCAGACTTTACCTTTACCTTTACCTTCACCTGCATTGTCATTTTCATGCAAATCAAACTCCTTTTCATATGGGAGGTTTTGCACAAAGACTAGCTTTGAGACAGACACAAGGTAACTGGATGGCCTATTTTTGCGGTTTTTTTTTTTGCGATCCGCAAAAATAAGTTTCTGCGAAAAAAAATCTCGCAAAAACGTTCTCCGCAAAAATTTACTTCATTGGCGAAATTATGCGTACAAACATCGCATGTGGAATCTTGGTGCCATTTATTTACAACGTCTCTCAAAACAGGAGAGAAATACATTAAGTGATGCCGTAGTTTTTGCTGAGCCATTGCCGGAGCAATCAATCCAAACTAGGGCAAGACGTAATTGTAATAGCGCGATACCGAGTGCCGCGGCTTACATCTCCGCATGTTTTTCACTGACTTGTCAGTTGCGTGTAGTTAAATAAAAGAAAACAAAAAAGTTGTAATTCCAATTAAACGCGACTCCCTGATAAACGTAAAATTTAATACCCAGCAAGAAAAACCAGTCTTTCACAATCGCAAAAATTGGTTGCCACAAAATGCAAAAAATCGGCAATCCGCAAAATTTAACTCACGCCAAAGTTTCGTGCCATACGGTATCAGCGTACAACCTTTATACTGTTTGACATTCTTCTTGGATCCAGGTAACAGTTTCTTTTTGAATCAGACACTCAGTTCTGGTCCCAGCCACACGCTCAGAAAAAGAAAAGGACACTGACATCATTTTTGTAGCTCTTAGGAGCAGACCAATCTCATAAGATGAATATTTATTCTGGTCTCAAGGTTAAATATGATTTCTTAGCCTTTATTAACCGAGCAGGAGGTCTGTATGGGAGAATCTTGTCCGAGGTCGTGAGTACAGACCGAACGCAAGATTCTCCCATTCGACTAAGCTCGGTTAATAAGATGTTTATTATATGGCAAACAAGATAAATTTAATTCGTTTAATGTAACTGGCTTGTACCAGCTGACATTTTGCTTGCGAACGGCGATGAGCTGAACTTAATTCTGCTTAAGTCTGCTCAACCTCTTTACTTTTCTTTTCCTATCAGGCTTTTTGGCGCTTCCATAAATAAATACTTTTAAGAAAATAGTCAATATTTTTGCATTTTAATTTGCATCTTTTTCACCGCAAAGCATTACCGGTCTAGATGGGAAAATCTAGGCCGTTTTCAATGTTGATTTCAGCCAATCAAATTCGTGAATTCGGTAGTTTCCAGTCCTTGTGAGAAACAGCCATTTAATAATGTAAATTATTAATTAAAGTAATGCGCTACTGTTGTGTTACTGATGGGTCACTGTTATTAATGGTTTGGGTGTGTTTTAGGCTCCTAAACCTGCTAATGATTCAAATGCTTGGATGAACAGATCTCTTAAACAACTGCTAGACATGGGCTTTAAGGTGAGGAAACATATCTACTTAATGACGACTGCTGTCTTGGCTAATACTTTTTCAACTATTTGACATAGAGTTGAAGTTGAGCGCACGTGTCTCATCCTGCTTGTTGAACTCGTTTGGAAAAGGAAATACAATCTTAAAGGTCGTCTTGACTTGGGCTTGAGGATAAGAGAATCCATAAGTTAAAGATATTATGTTTATTACGTGAAATGTTTTGCTGATCAAGGTGCAATGTTACCAATATTTCTCTTCTATAGTAATTTGCTTCAGGCATCAAGCAGGTTACTGCAGGGGCCTTATTTATTGTGAAGAGTTCTTAAGAGTTTGCGTAATGGATGAGAATTATTAGAGTAGGCGCTTAATAGGTTAAATGGTTTGTCATAATTACAATACCGTCTTTGTCATCGTTTACGGCAGAGTGGAAATAAGCTTGCTCCGAGTCTTAACTAAATGAAGAGGAAGGCTCCACCCGTCTTTTCTTAATATATTTGGAAATACTGAATGCCGTGTGTTTTCTCGTTGTGTACAGCAAGACGACGCGGAGAAAGCTCTCAAGGCAAATCATATGAACATCGAAAGTGCAATAGGTAAGTTCGGTAACTCTTCGAGTTCCGTGCAATAGAGCAGGTAGTCAAAAGTCGAAGTAAAACTCTGCAACCCGTGCAGTGTAATCTGCCTCGAGCCTAGTCATGTCAGGTAAAACTTACTGATTAGACAAACAAATTCTCCTACGAAAATCAGGAATGTGAACCGCACGGAGTGAGGAGAATTTGAGTTCTAACCTCGCAACTGTTGATGTGTTTTCAGGGGACCTCCTTGCTATGAACATCAGTGAAAGCATGGAACAGACTGTACCTGTTCCAGGGGGAAAACTACAGGAACCTGACCCAGCAGAGGCAGCGAGGATCCAACAACAACAGCAACAAAGTCAGAGTAAACTGAACAGGAAACAGCGAAGGAAACTTCAACAACAGCAGCAACAACAACAAGCTGAACAAAACACTCTTGCGTCAAAAACGGATCCGAAACAAGGACAAACTGAACTCGTAGTCTCTAAGTCAATGACTCAAACCAGCGATACTCCTTCTAAACCAGATAGTGAGCAACAGAATAACACTTCAGAAACTCAATATGCATCTAAGACGGATGAAACACAACAGGACTCTAACTCAAAACCAAGTGCACCAGCAGCAAAAAGTGATAAACCACCTTTGTCGGTAGCTGGGCCCTCGAAGCCCTCTAATGGACAAGCTCAGTTGTCAGGAAATGGTAAAAGAGCAGGCCCACCATTAATACCTCCTGCGCCAGGCCCTGGGGTACAGGCACCCTTGAGACCTCCTCTGGCACATCCTTTACTTCACCCTCAGCTTGTTCAGCAGTTTCATCTTCAGCAGCTACGGATGGCTCAAGGAGGACTCCTTCAACCTCCCTTCACTCCTCAACAGTTCGCCATGTTACAGCAGATCGCTCAGCTTCAGCTCGTTCAGCAGCGTCTGGCTGCACAATCTGTTGCCCAGCAACACATGGGACAGAAACAACAAGTAGTTCCTCAACAGCAGCTGTATCAACAGCAACAGCAGATTGCGCTCATGATCGCTCAGATGCAGCAACAAGTTCTACAGCAGCAGCCGGGCCTGGCAGGGAGACATCCTGCTCTGCCGTTTACTGCAGTGCAGCAACAACAGCAGCAATCACTCATCCAGCAACAACAACAACAGCAGCAGTCGTCTCCTACTGCACAACAAAAAGGTAATAAACCTGCAACGAATGAGAAGCCAACGAGTGAGCCTGCACAGAATAAGACAACAGACACTGTTAAATCTCAGCCAAATGAACCTTCTAACGTTCCACCAGCAACAACGGAAGAACAAACCAAACAACCTTCTCCCGTCCCGCAATCTCGATTAACACAATGGAAACAGCCGTTATTACAGGATCCTTCAGCTGTCACTCAACCTTCAGTCACCAGTAGCATACCCACCCCAGTGGACTCTAATCCTCCAACAGTTTCAACGTCTTCACAGTCCACTTCTTCTGTACTTTCTAGTGTTGTGTCAGCTCCTTCCATTTCAACTAATGAAGTCTCTGACCCATCTGCTCCCAACAGCAACAATGTGTCTCCACGTACGAGGATTCCGGATCCAGTCTCTAGCAGGTGGGGTGTGGATGCGGGTCCCAAGCTATCTGCTGACCCACCTGAATTTAAACCAGGTGTCCCGTGGCGTCCCGCTCCAAGAAACGAGAAACGGGACGACGGACGAGACGTCGTTTCTCCTAGTACTGTGGAAGTTTCAAGTCGCACGTCCTCCAGTAGTAGCGATTCTCAAACAGATAGTTGGTCGAATCCAGGCAACCAACCTGTTAGTGCGCCAAGCAGTGCACCTCCTGTGAACACTGGAAAGGTAGCGGATGATGCTGTCAGCACCACTGCTAATTCCGGCTTCTCTGGACTGTCAATCAATAACAGTACATTCGAATCGAGTGCGATTGATTTCGGACGGAGCTCAACTCCTTGGCAATCAACCGAAAGTAAAACCCCACCCCAACTTCCACAAGGAACAAACAAACTGGCTTCCAATGCTGCGTCACTGTTAAGACCTCCCCCGGGTCTGGGAACTGAAAAGTCCCTGCCCGAGTCCCCCCTGTTTGACGATGAACCTCCAGCTTGGTTGAAGAGCTTAATAGACGGCTCCAGCCTTGCTGGCGACAAAACCCAGCCTGAATTTCAGTTCAGTCGTTTTGGTTTTGCTAACAATCCTGCGCCGTGGAGTCCGCGAGATGCAAGCCCACAGCCCTTTAGTCCCTTGACACCTAATCCTCAGCCTTGGGCTGCTGTGGGGGGTCCTGCCCCTACATTATCATCCTCAGCGTCAGCAGTGTCCATGGCAACAAGTGAGATTGTTCGGAGTGGAAGTGTCAGTGCTGCTGAGCCATCTAACCTGCAGAATTCGGGAATCATCTGGTCTACAAATCAACCCATCCCTAGTGCTGAAGAAAAGTTACCTGGGACTCTCCCTGGGGCATCTGTTCCTGCTGTATCCGCAGCCAGCGGTGTTGCACCTTCCAGGAACATGGTCAATTCGATGTCAACGTGGTTGGTTCTCCGCAATCTGTCACCAAGGGTGAGTTTTAATGATGCGACCTGGACGCCAGTGTCTTGTAGTGTACCGGACGTACTGCGTCTTGTAGCTGGATGGAGAATCAGCCTTGAGGCGAGCGTCCATCTTCGCGCTAAATTCCCACTAAAAACTTTATATCATTGCTGTTTTATACACGATACCTGTCTCATTTTGGTTATTACGTGCGCGCAAGAATTCTTCAGCATGGAAATTTTCTTGTTTAATCTCAAACATTTTTCTTGAACGCGCTACGGGAGACGCCTGTTTCATTATGCTAAGGTGCAGCCAGTTTCCATATTTCTCCTAAAAATGTAGTTGTCTCGATGTATAACCGTCTCTCGGGGGTAGCGTCTAATCAGTTTGTCTTTTATTTTCAGATGGATCCCAAAGCTCTCCGTCCCCTGTGTGAGAGGCATGGACCACTACTCACATTCCAACTGAATCTCCGTCATGGCAACAGCTTGATACGTTACGGCAGCATGGAGGAAGCTGCCAAGGCGAGGGCGGCACTCAATGGCTTGATGATGAGTGGCACGCAGGTGGTGGCAGACTTCGCTACAGACAGTGACATCGGCAGTTTCTTTGAGCAAACCATGGACTGGAGCGCCAACCCATTTCCTAGCAACACTTACGGAAATCAATGGTCTTTCCAGAATGTCCTTGGATCCGCAGCAACCAGTGACAGTATTCAATCTGCACCTAAAGTACCAGCTGCAAAGAACCAACCACCAGTAACAACCACTGAGCAGCCTGTCCCTAAAATCAATAACCCAACACCTGGAATGCAGTGGGGTGCTGCTGTAGGGGCGTTGCCCCCAAAGGGCCTCGCTCCCGGCGAACAGTCCAAAATGAACCCGACGACTCCTCAGTGGGGAACCGGCTCGCAAAGCAGCGAGCAGCCTGGTACCAAGCCTAATACTGGAACCCCCGGCATGCCTTGGGGTAGTGCTCCGGGAGCCACGCCGGTCCCGTCATACTTGTGGGGCTCAGGCCCCTCGCAGCAGCCAGCCCTTGGAGGAAATTTTTCCCAGGTTCCCAGCATGTGGTCCTTTCCAGCTGGGGTCCCGCGTGACGTGGAGCCTCAGTCAGGATCTGGGGATGGGCTGGTTAGTCCTTCCATGACCACGTTCCTTCCGCCGGGGCTTCTGAATGGAGGAGGGGACCCGGTTTGACTGGAACCGTGATATTGAACTCGGAATCATTTAGCAGCGTTATCGCATTGTAGTTTTATCGCTTACTTGTGTATTTGTTTCGTGTGTTGTGATGTGCGTGAGTTGGCCCTGAAAATGGGTCTTATGTGTTTCTACATCAATGTTTCAATATTGATTAAATCTCCCCATGCTATACAAATAAGTGTCCTTTTTGTTCCTCAAAAAGTGATCTTCAGGCCTGGTTCATTCCTTGACGGGTTTTAAGGGAAAAAGCCCTGGTAACGAACTTGATGGGCCTACAGTCCTATAAACGTCTGGGAGATTTGCTTTGGAGTCCGGAAGACTTTCCTCTTCTAGCAGTCTTTCTTCATCCCTTGAATCCCCTTTCAAGCAATCAAACGATACCTTACGTTCCTATTTTTGCCAGATTTTGCCTGTGATGTCGATGTTTTTATTTCTTATCAGGCCAGAAGCAAATCCTCCTTCCGAGATTAAAAGGTCAAAAATTTATTCGTGTATCCGATGAAGCTTATATAAACTAGCGTGTTCCACAAGATCGTTTCGTTGTATCGGCCATACCGTAAATCCTCGAATTAGCTCCCGGGGCGCTTATTTCAAATTTAGGAGAATATGGGAGCCGCTTATTCGAGAGGGGCGCTTATTTAATTTTTCCCAAATTGTGCCCTGACATGATCTTTTTTTTTTAATACATCATCTGCACGTAAACAACATAAGCTGTTTATCGACGTAAAAAGCTGATCCTAAAGTTTAAATCGGGGCACCATTAGCAATTCACGTGGTCACAAACTGAAACAGTGTATAAATCTAATACTACACGACGAAAACTATACATCATTTGCTGTCTCATTACTCGTCCACAAAATAGGGGGAGGGGAGGGGGCGCTTATTTTTACTTCCGGCCGATGCGAGGGGCGCTTATTCGAGGGGGCCCGCTAATTCGAGGATTTACGGTAGTTACAGGAAAACAGCCGCTTCAATACCTTAGGTTTTTTGTTGATGATTTTTTGAAGTGTCCCAAAGAAGACTTCGACCCTCTCTGGTTTCACAAGGTGCGGCAGTGGAACTGGCCCTGTCTTATGGCCAGCCCGTCAATACGGCCACCTCCATTACGGCCACTTTATTCAAGACCGAACAAGGGCTCAGTTAGTAATTGTCCCTTAATTTAATACGGCCAGATTTTTGTGGCCCGTTGGTGACCGGATTAACGTGTTTCCACTAGATTTAGATCAACGATGTTTGGGCCAAGCCGATTACAGTTTATTTGACCGTGAATATCCAGCCCAACTGTTTTGTCCGAAAAGGAGTGGAAAAGTATATACCAGCATGTATTTTTTGTCAACCAAGTTGTTTCCGGCTGCAAAAAGTTAATCAACCAAAAACGGCCTGTTGATGTTTGTTTTCTTGACGACCCGACTGATCATCGTACCTGCTGTAAGACCAATTTGTCAATTTCGAATTTTCGAGTCAGGGTTTTCGGGCCTACGGTACAGCTAAACTCAACCCCATCAATCCGTCACCAACGGGCCACAAAAATCTGACCTTATTTAACGGGTGTGGACGTAAGGTGGGGTTCCACTGTAATTTGGGAACGATGCTAATTAACATATAGCGTCGAGCCCTTATCATGAACAAGTGCTGGTTTAGAAACCTTGGATTATTACTACTTGCTAAAAGTAAGTATAGAAGGATAAATTTAGCACTATACTGTTTGAGGCAAAACAATTCCCTTCTAGTCGCTCAGCTTAGCTCTTCTGAGATCGAAGTTGTATCTGGTTAGCTTTGCTTTGCAAGTAACAAACAACGCGCAAGTAACAGCCTTCCACCGACCCACACGAATCTCTGTAGAGTCGCGTCATCAGCATGGAATCGGCCAGTGACAGAAGAAAGTCCATGATAATGATCTATGATGCTTACATGTAGCTGTACCCACCGCTCGATACAGCTATACCTTCCTTCCGTTTGTCCTCGGAGGTTAGAGGGGTGGGTGGGTTTTCAGGGCTAGAACACCCCCTAACGTTTTTCCTCGGAGGGTGGGTACGACAACACGAAGGCAATGAACACTACATGTTTGTGCATTCCAGTGCATTATTTCCAAAGATCATGCGAGCGTCACCCCCTGACAGTTTCTGATGTACCCTCCGGCTTGGGGCGTGTAGGAATATAATTTTCCCCTTGAAACCTGTCCCAGATGACGTGCACTGCTTGCTGTGCCCACAAGTCCATCACTTGGTCCAACCATTTGTGTCGGTAGCTTTCAGAACTTAGTAGATCTTCACCTTGCTCCATAATCTTTCACTTTGTAGTGAACCGGCCACTGAAAAAACACATTCATTTTAAAACTCATGTTCATAATGTAGATCTTTTATTGAAAATTTGTATTTTAACAAAACTCTGTTTTTACTTTATTTTGGTGTTAATTTATTTTATATTGTGGATGGACGTGTTTTAATTCTAAAACTACAAAACGTTTTGTACGATTGTCACTAAANGATGTACCCTCCGGCTTGGGGCGTGTAGGAATATAATTTTCCCCTTGAAACCTGTCCCAGATGACGTGCACTGCTTGCTGTGCCCACAAGTCCATCACTTGGTCCAACCATTTGTGTCGGCAGCTCTCAGAACTTAGTAGGTCTTCACCTTGCTCCATAATCTTTCACTTTGTAGTGAACCGACCACTGAAAAAACACACTCATTTTAAAACTCATGTTCATCATGTAGATCTTTTATTGAAAATTTGTACTTTAACAAAACTCTGTTTTTACTTTATTTTGGTTTTAATTTATTTTATATTGTGGATGGACGTGTTTTAATTCTAAAATTACAAAACGTTTTGTACGATTGTCACTAAAATATGTACAATGGTGAAGTTAACCTGGCAATAAATAAACTGATCTATGTATGTTTTTTTTTCTCCCTGCAGTTTCGTTGGGAGAGTAGAGACGAGGACATTCGCGTTAATTTTTTTTAATTTAACTCTTTTCTCGAAAATATTTTTGTAATATTGGCAAATGGATCGTCTGATTCAACGAAAGTGTCACACAATTGAAGTTACGTGTAACGCCAGGTCAATGACAAATTGATGACCAGCACAGTCGATCTTTTGAGGAACACTCCAGTACGGTCACGATATGCACGGACCCTGCAAAGTAGGACAATTCTTCAAAGTCCTTAAAGTGCCTTCTTGTACAAGTTCCTACATAGAGGAGGAATTCAGGCGTCACGAAGAGGCCTTCAGGACATAGCTTGCCAGGTGCCAATCGCACTGGACTGAGTTCAAGCCTCCAGAAGGGTGTTTTAGTCTTGAAAGTAATACGTCTGAAATACAGGCTCGCTTTTACAAGACGCCATAGAGTAGTAAGTGTGCATGAGAAGACGAGGATAGCGAGAGCTGAAATAACGCATGTATCCATCAGGAACCGAGCCTAAAGCTTTTTTCACGTGATCTGGAAGTTCACGGTAGTGGTGTTTCTGTCAAAATGAACAAATCGAGACATTAGAAGAATTAACATCAACTGCAAGAAGTTCATCTCTATACACTCGGCAGCTGTATGAGGACTTAGCACGAGCTACTTTTTCTTCTGAGAAACTTCTTTGCCATAGCCACCACAGTTTTATGACCCAAAACGAGACTCGGACAGGTCCCCTTGACATTGACGGGGTTTCCTGGTCGGTGTTCTGAGCACCTAACGCAAACGCGCCTTGAGATCGCCGAGATAGCATCGGTCACTGGCTGATTTACCAAACGAAAGGTACCGCGTCTTGTTATTTCTTTCTTTCTTTCTTTTTCTCGGAAAGGACAGCCAGATGTCAAGTTACATGGGACAAATCAGGCTATAAATACGATTGTAACCTGTCAGATACTTTAAAGTGTCAAAACAGCGCCTCGCTTAGAAAGAAACTGGAAACTGGGGAAAAGCTCAACTAAGGCAGCCGCTGACAGGAGAGAGACGACATGCAGACTCAGCTGATTTAAAATCGAAATTGAGTTGCACTGACAGCTTTTTATAATTACCTTGTTTCGCATGGCACGTAAAAGATCTCTGACATGAGAACCTTTGTACGTCCTAAATCTGCGAAGATCTGTAAAACAAGAAATTAAAGGGAGATTAAAAATTAAAAGTAACACATAAAATACCCGCCTGGAGATACACTCTTAGTTCCCAGTCTCTTTCCTGTACTCACCTTCTTGTAATTCGCTTCCCAAGTGTACTTTCCAGTCCCCTCGCACCACAGGAATGGAATCTTTCTGTAATGACACTAGCAGGTCTGATTCTTCGTCCTCTTTTTCAATGCGGTCACTTACGTCCTGAAAATACAATAAGATTTTGAGCTCTTTTCAAGCGTTTATAACAGACTACGGCGGAAAAAAGCCTCCTTTTAATTATTACCTGAAAGAATGCTAGCTGTTTTTCTCTGTTCCAGAAGAACGGATGTTTGAGGATTGCTTTCGCTGAAGGCCTGTAAAGAAAGAGTAAGTTATTTAGTGTTCAATCACACCAGTTGAACGACTTATAAGGCTTGCAGAAGTTGAGCACCGACCACTTGTGACTTAAATAACACCTCATTTAATTCACTTAAGGGTAGGACGTTCATCGTACAAGTGTTAAAACTTTCCAACGTTTCCGTCAAGAGTTGTACCAGGTGAACAGTTTTGAATCGAGTAATGCGCGTGCCTGAAAATTTCCAACTGTTATTGTCCAATCAGAAACGACCCTCGCGGGCCGAAAGTTGATACAACTTGTTACCACAGAGGTACGTCATGGGATGTCATGCTGCCTAGCAACGCCCAAAAACTCATTCAATCTTCGATAACAAGACACTCGCTGACTCGAAAGCAAAAATAAACTTACCTTTCTGAAGGACAAGGATTTAACATCATTTTCATTAAGTCTCTTGCTTCTGTCACTACTGTGAAAGCAAATTATGCATTGTATTATTAATATTCGTCAAAATGTCCTCGTGTAAGGAACGCGTCGTTGGACAAAATTACAGTTACCAAATACCGAGCCCGGAACAGTAAATTTATGTAATTTGGGTGCGGTAAGTTTCGAAACGAACAAAAGCAAACACGAGATTCTCAAGCTATACTTTCTATGATAAGCCAATCGATCGCTATTGTCAAATAAACTCGTTAAACAGGTACAGCTTCTTACATTCTGAATTGATGATCTTCTCCATATCGTAATCTCCCGCTAGTATGTTAGCTTGTCGTCTGTATTGATCTCCAAATGGATGACGTCCTCCACTCAACACGTAATAAAACACACAGCCAGACGAGAAGATATCTACGGAACGATTCTGGGGTAGAAAAAATACAAACAAATTAAAAATACAAAAACGCGCGCAGGAAGGACTGTTTAAAAACTTTTCTAATGGTTCATTCATTCTTCATAAGAAACAATAGCCCACTGAAAGCCCCGTTCACACTACGCGGGATAAATTTAAAAACGCAGCTTTGTTTCTACGGTTAGGCCTACCGTCCACACTTATCCGTCACGAAAACAGAGCTTTTCGAAAACGCTCTTCAAACGTGAGGAATGTGAAAACGCTGGCTTTGCGTCTTAGTGTGAACAGGACACATTTTGAAAACGGAGCTTTTCGAAAACGATGCCATCGCGATAATCACGTGATTTCCCTGACCGAGTTTTCTTCAAACACAAATCCAGAATGACCGGTGATTGTCGCGTTTTTAAATTTCTCCGGCGTAGTGTAGATGGAAAACATTTGATGCGTTTTTAGAGTGAAAACGCCGTTTTCTAATTTCTCCGGTGTAGTGTGGACGGAAATCATTTGATGCGTTTTCAGAGTGAAAACGCCGTTTTTCAATTTTCCTGGAGTAGTGTGGACGGACTCTGATACCCGATTCACTTCTGTTGAGGAATAATCCGTTCAACAACAATGATTGAAAGCATTTATATTTTTTATAGGTCGATAAAAAAGGAAAAGCATGGCATTACCATTTTGTTGTCTGGCTTGAACATCTCTGGAGCTATCCAGCCGTCTGTGCCTATAGCACCTGTTTGACACGTGACCGAGTTGCGACCGTACGCCAGCTTCTTACAAAGTCCAAAGTCCGATATCATTGCTTTCACTTCGCCGCTTGCACTTCGCTTTGAAATCAGCACATTGTGAGGTTTAATGTCGCGATGAACTGAAAGCAAATTAAACTTTTTAGAGAGAAATAAAAAAAAAAAAATAGATTATTGACATCATTACATTACTTGCAAAACAATTGGGACGTTAAAATTTCGAAAGTTTAATTTTCGGACACTTTTTACCTCTAAAAATGATAGTTTTACCGCACCGTCAAGGTTTTAGATATATATACCGAGGTAAAAGTAACACAAATTCTATCAAGCCGTTACGTATCTTGAGCAGTGTCTCAACTAGAGTTCGCCTCATAAAGAAAACCAAGAGCTTTGGAGCTACTTAATTTATGCTGTATTCTAAATATTTTGGACCCTTAAAAATTTCGGACGGTTTTATTTTCCGACACTTTTTTGGTCCGAAAGTAAAATGGGCCCAAATTTCTTGCAAGTAATGTACGAGAAAAGTCCAGGGGCAAATGGTATGATAGTCGTGTTTACTCTCGAGTGATATCTTCCTTCTGTCTTGAAATTTATTTTCATTAACACAATCCTCAAAGAAAAAGTTCATTTTACCAATATTAAGGGAATGAAGATGGGAAAGTCCTGACATCGCTTGATTCAGTACAGTTACTGGAGTGAGCCCATGACGATCAAATGTTGGATCTTCCACATACTGAAAACAAAACAAAAAAAANGAGAAATAAGAATAAAAAAAAAATAGATTATTGACATCATTACATTACTTGCAAAACAATTGGGACGTTAAAATTTCGAAAGTTTAATTTTCGGACACTTTTTATCTCTAAAAATGATAGTTTTACCGCACCGTCAAGGTTTTAGATATATATACCGAGGTAAAAGTAACACAAATTCTATCAAGCCGTTACGTATCTTGTGCAGTGTCTCAACTAGAGTTCGCCTCATAAAGAAAACCAAGAGCTTTCGAGCTACTTAAAAATTTTATACTGTATTCTAAATATTTTGGACCCTTAAAAATTTCGGACGGTTTTATTTTTCGACACTTTTTTGGTCCGAAAGTAAAATGGCCCCAAATTTCTTGCAAGTAATGTACGAGAAAAGTCCAGGGGCAAGTGGTATGATAGTCGTGTTTACTCTTGAGTGATATCTTCCTTCTGTTTTGAAATTCATTTTCATTGACACAATCCTCAAAGAAAAAGTTCATTTTACCAATATTAAGGGAATGAAGATGGGAAAGTCCTGACATCGCTTGATTTAGTACAATTACTGGAGTGAGCCCATGACGATCAAATGTTGGATCTTCCACATACTGAAAACAAAACAAAAAAACACCCATCAAATTAATACACAATAGTTTGGTAAGAACATATGTGAAGGAATTCATTCACAATGCTTTCTTTGTACCTCTTGGAGAGTAGCCTCGCATAATTCCAGTGCAATATACCGAAACTGCTGATCCTCTTCCTAAAATGATAAAAAAAGCTCATTAACCATCACATCACCACACAATCTTCGAATGTAATTGCTACCGGGTTCTTGAGTTAAATACGTCCAAAAGATATTTGTCGAGTGTGCCACATATAGACAGGACCTTAACTCGAAGCCTCCCTCAATTTTTCGCGCTCAATTTCTGCTGTCTGCTATTTAATTTACTCTAGAGAGATCCGTGAGAAGTCTGTAATTGGCTGCTGCTTCGTTTTGATATTTTCGCGCAAAAGTAACAACGAATCAGAGGGACCATAGGGTTCTCTACGTCATCAGAATGAAATTTTTGCCATAAAACTGACTCACCGTGCAGAAATACCTGATGACATTTGGATGCGCATCCGATTCTCGTAGAAGATCGACCTGAAATAAAACACCACCAAATAAACCTCCTCGGCCAATAATTTCCCAAACAACGATCATCTAAACATTTTCTAAAACTGACTCTCAAACGTATTTTAAAACAAAACAAAATGTGACAAGCCAATTTAAAGGAGCTACCTCACGGTTTGTGCATCTTGACAAGTTTGCTTGAATTTTTCAAGTTCGTCGTTTGTAATCCCTGTGAATCTTGTCCATCCTTGACCATCCTTGTTCCTTCATGGCTTATTATTATCTCTTTGGTGTTTTTCTTTCTTAGTAAACTGCTATTTTCGGGTTTCTTTCAATTTAAAGGTAATTATGTACATTATGTACTTGGCCAAAATAACTCAAAATACTGTGAGTTAGCCCCTTTAATTGAATAGCTTCTTTGCGTCTATACTCTGAAAAAAGTCAGATAAGGAAACAACAGAAGAATTGCTGAAAATTTTAATACCTCTCTATCAGCAAAGCTGAAACATTCCGGTAGAATACGTTTCACTGCTGCATCGCGGCCGTCAAAATTACCCCTGAAAACAACAACAACAAGATATCAACACAAAAGTCCAGCACAACTTTGATAAAACCAAACGCTAAGGATGTTAAAGAACTTGACACAAACTCCAGTGCTTTCCCGCGGAATTTTGCAAGTCAAAATTTTACAAATACATGTAGCAAGATTGAGATGAGGATAACTTACTTGTAAACAACTGTTCCTTCACAACCACGACCAAGCACATCTTTTAGCGAGAAGGAAATCTTGCCCACAGACACGAAATTATCTGTTGTATAAGATAAGAAGATGAGAATGGCTCACCAGAAAACTAACAAACTCTACGTACTGTTACTGCAAACTAAACACTAGTTATGCAACACTTTCGAGTGGCATACCAGAGAATATCCTACGAGTCACTTGTATTTTTGCGGTATACCACGAGAGACCATTGCATAACTATTTTATACCATGCCATAGAAAAAACAGTGGACAACACAATCAATGCGACATGCGCGCGGTGCGTGATGGGAAGGTTGGGTGAAATACCGTCAAATAAAATTCATATGTTCGCGCCGCCGTGTAATATTCTTTATTTAGTAATTACATGAAAAAGCTTGTGGTATTTTTCCCTTACTTAAGTTCTCAGGCGGCGGCTCTGTTTTTTGATCGTCGATTCTCTGTGATGATGATGCTGGACGCGATGAGCCCCTTGAAGACACAGAATGCTGTCTGGTTGACCTCTATAACAACAGGAACAGACAACAAATCAAAACAGGATGTGACAAAGAACCATTCTCTACCAACTCAAAAGTGTGACATCCTGATTTCAGACGTGATCTGGACTGAATGAATTCCATCACACGGTCTTGTAAGCATCTGCAACAGTGAAAAAACTTACGTCAATATAAAACACCACCAGGAGAACCACAGGAATACCAATGGTGGCAATAATAGTGTACAACAGACGCTGATGAATCTTCATCATTTCAAACATTTCTTGTTGTTGTCTTCTGTCTTCTTCCTTTGCACTTGGCTTGTCAATTCTCTTGGGCATAAGCTTCACGCCTGGTAGATGGTGATAATGCATGTACAGCGGCATCAGCTTGTCGGGAATGTGTGTAATATGCAGCTGAGGACTGGCCACCAGTGGAACTTGATGGTGTCCAAGTAGCAACGCTGCCTTGGGTTCCAGTACTTTAGGCTGCTGCACAGGCCGTCGCACTGGAGGGGAACTGTTCACAGATGGCTCTGTGGAAGACACTGCATCCTTTGATTGGGATGTTGAAGGAACTACTGGTTTTGGGCCTTCAATCAGTAAGACCTTCGCCTGAGGTGAGAAGTAACTTGGGTGTTAGTGGCTCAGTAGGTCAGTGCTACACTAGAACAAGCTANGTAAAGTTCATGATATATCACTGTTAGTATAGGCATGATCAGTATCTTGAAATCATTACCATGCCAATGTTCCTGTTGATTTTTAAGGAGAACCAACACAAAAATTACTCCATTTCAGACATAAACTGAAGACACTTTCCAGACAACTTCATTGCTTGCGAGGTATTAAGCACGGCCTTGGCTGGTTTCACAAACACCTGACAGATTGTTTGAACAATATATCCATCCACAATGTGCAAAGAAATAATTCAAAAGTAAGAACTTGATCAAACAGTCCTGGTATGTCAATAATTGAATAAATAATTTTAGGATAAATGCATGAAAACATTCACCTGTTGATGCATCCATTGTGACCATGAAACCATCAGAACTAGAACAAAAATGATGAAGGTCTAGGGAAAAAGATTCTTAGTGTTAGTAAAGTATGTTGTGTCAAGCAGGTTGTTGTGAAACAGACAATGAATGGTGAACAATAATAATTACTGTAATCCACATCTTGGGCGAGATGAGAGGAATAGTCATGAAATGTGGCATTCCATCTGCAATAAGAAAAACAATAATATATTTTTATAATTTGTTACTAAGAATAGAGATAAATAAATATCAAGGGAAGTATCAAGGCCACTCTTAAAGTTAAGACACACAATATGGTCAGGAATATTATTTCTTGCATAAGTCTACTTGTAATTCACCAGTGTACAAACAAATAAAATAATTTTCTAGATCTATGCAGTCAAAAAATCTAAATACAAACCTCTTTTCTCTAGTTTTGCTATCATACATGGTTATCGTATATTCTGTAAAGATAAAGATACATGTAAGTATTATGATATTGTATATGTACATGTACACTGTATTTGCAAATTAACATTCTCTTAATTTACACAGTCAAAATAACACTCAGATAAGTGATAAATTTTCTAGCCTATTATTTTTCTCCCTCTATCAATCTTGAAACAAGAAAATGCTTCTCTTTACTGATTACCCTAGAAATCACTAGAGTCCCAAAAGTTTTGTTGTACATGATGTACATCAGTGTAGTCACTGTCATGCTAACAGGACAAGGTAAAAGCTTAGATGTAAATTTACATACCTGTTCTTCCAAGAAATACTGGAGCCTTCTTGTTGGACATCATTGGGCAGACAGTCTCTGTTCCGTCTAACTTTAGAGTTTGTTGTTTTATGCCAGTGTCCAGGTCAATGGCGTACCAAACATCTGTTTTACGGCCTGGGATAAAAGTTTGTCACAATAAAACCAGTGTTGGACTGAAAAATTATTAAGGGTAACAAATTGCAAATGAAAAACAGATCAAATAAAAAAATAAAAAAGGAAGGAGGGACGGAATGCACACATGAATGAATGTCTTGAATGAATGCAAGCATGCATTCATGTGTGCATGACTGACTGACTGACTTACTGACTGACAGAATGACAGACGGAAGAACCGATGGATGGATGGACGGACTGACGGGGGGACGGAGGGAGGAATGGACATATGGACTGGCTGACTGAATGTATGAATGAAAGAACTTAAAAACAGACAAAGGAAGGAACAAAGGAAGGAATGAATGAACGAGACCATGAACAAATTAAAATTTAAGGCAATAATTTTAACCTGTGTACAGGATTCCATCTGAACTTCGACAGGGAGATGCTCGCACAAGTTCAGGTATTGTGAAGGGCAGTTTCTGCAAAATATGATAAGATAATAATTATTTAAAATTAGTTTCAACGTCAACAAGGTGGCCTATATAATAGATGATTTGAAAATATCAAGAAACTTTTGATAAATCCAAGACACTATCTAGCAATAACATTTCACTGCAAGATCCAAGATAACATTATTCTGCAACAGTGAATACAATAACTAAAAATGCCAATAATACCTTAAGACCATCGTGTGCACTTCCAAAGGCATACAAGCTTCCATCTTTGGGATCAGGAATGAATATTGCACTGAAGAGAAAGAAACAAAACAATACCATAGATAAACATAGCAGCAAACAATCTCGGTAATACATTACAAGTAGCCTTCTGTCTGTTACAAAGTACGGTGGAGCCCCGCCTTACCACTTTATTCTGGCTCGAAAAAAGTTCAGCCAGTCATTTTCTTATTTAAAGAACCCCTTTAATATGGCCACCCTGTTAATACCGCAAGATTTTTGTGGCCCATTGGTGACCGGATTAATGGGGTTCCACTGTAAGTAAGATTGCCCTTACCCTGGGCGAAGGTATACTGGTGTTTGAATAACAGCGTCTGTTGAAGGTAAAAAATAAAATTTCACTATGTATCACCTACAAGAGACCAGTGAATCATGCACTGAAAAATCTGTTTATCAAATACACACTGTAAATGTTTTCTCCACGATAATTATCTTATAACAACACATATATCTACATGTATCCTAAGGAACTATCCATGAGGAGATCCTTCTGTATGACAATAAATTATCTTTAGTTACCAAAAATGGACTTTGTGATGAGTTGATTGGAATTAATATTGTACAGCTGCTGTCACCAACCAGATGACAATTATGAATGAGTCACTAACTAAAGCTAATATTATTGTATAATATCAGAAACAAGTTAAAAGGCTGCTTTTATTTGCTTTACCCTCTACAATGTATTTGGTTGTAAACTTGTCATTAAGCATAAAGTTGTGTATAGATACTTTGTGTAAACATTTTGAAGAGGCATTCTATGTAAACAAGAAATTTTCACAGTTTGAGCTTCCTAAATACATTGAAACCCAGTGCGTTAAATTATAAGAAAGTGGTTTGACAGGTAGGATTTTGACGGGCAGAATTTTGATTGGCAGATGCCGTATAGTCAGATTTATGACAAAAAAAAACAGTCCTATATAATCTATTTTCTAGTGCCTTTATCTACATTCCTAAATTGTTCCTCTTTCACTTAGAAACAACACTGATGGATGGACAAAGAAGTTGCTCTCACACTAAATGGTAAAATAGATATCATATATCTTTTAGTTATATACCTTTTTGTTGCCTGAGGGG